TGGTTGGTTCTTCCCTTGTTTTGAACCCCTGATTCTGTCAAATAGGTAAGTTTAGGAATCAGTGAACACATCGTGTAAACTAGCCCTCTTCCATAAGAAATACCATATTCCTGAAGATGTTACACTAGTGTTAGGGGGGTTAAACACACTTCAAACTCCAACTAATCACACTGTGCCTTTTCCTATAGGAGCCATCGTAGAAGAGGGAGTTTGGTTCCCCTTGGATCCTTTGTGGCTCAAATTCTTCCATTACTTCAAACTCCAACCCATGGAGATAGCCATGAATACTTTTATTACCGATGTAGAGGACCGACCAATGCGAATATCTCATGAAGGTGGTGATCCAGGTTAGCTTTTGTCCTTAACGCTTTACTTCCACACTTTTGGTGTTGACTTTTAACTTTTGTTGTATGACTTTGACAGGTGATTCTTGGATGAGGAGGCGGACTACCAAAGAACATCTGGCCGACCTTGAGACTGCCTTTGCCTACTCCGACTGATCTGTGACAAAACTGCTTAATTATAAGGCCACTTACAAGCACAAGCTTAATGAGATGAGGGTTCATGTAATTGACTACTATAGGAAGTCTCTAGAGAGGTCGTTCGAGTAGCAAGCTTGTGATAACACTAGTGCTTCTACTTCCGCCATTGCTTGGTCATCAAGTGGAACTACGAGTGGGGGCCCTCGTCACAATGACCAAGAAGGCATGACTCACCGAAAGCTTGACCTTGCAGCTCTTGCTTACGGTACAGGTCCTGTTCCTGAAGTAATTACTGTGACTGTTCAGCTAGCTGACCAAAGAGTCTTGGCTCCAAAACAATCCGTACAGACTTCCAAGGAAGTTCCTTCTCCTACTCCACATAGTACAACATATACTGAAGAACTAAGGGTTTCTAAGAGAAAGAGAAGTAAAGGAAAGGACGCTGTAGAGGGCTCTGACGAGCAAACTTTCGCTGAAGAGTGGTTGCCTTCCTTGGAGTATAAAAGTCGGCTTATCACTGTGGCTAACAGCTTGACAGATTCTCGTGATTTGGCATTCCACCTGTCCAAGGCATTACTCCTACCTCTGGACATGGTTGAGTGTAATGTAGATTCCGAATCTCTAATCAAATGATCTATTCAAATGGTGACCGCAGTTAGTATTCCTCTCCTGATTTGATTGTTTTCCTGTCCTTTTTCAAGAAACTTCTCTAAGTGTTTTATTTTGGTTCTTGATAGTTGGCACAACGGCTTCATGTTCTGGAGCAGTGTCGCCTGGAGTAAGTAACAGACTTCAACTGAACTACGCAGTTGCTATCTGACGCCGACCTTGCTCTGAAGTCAGCCGAAGCAGAACGGATAAGGGTCGGAGAGGAGGCAGCCACTGCTAGGACATCGGCCCTTACTAAGGAGAAAGCATTGTTGGAGACTGAGAAAACTGCTATGGTGGCTTTGGCTGCCAACAAAGAGGTCGAAGAAAGAAAAGCTGAAGTGGAGGCTGAGCTGGAGGCAATGAAGGTCGACCAAGCTAAACTTATTGAAGAGGCCATCCAGAAGGGTTGGGATGAGGCTGAAACAGGTTATGCCCAACAAGTGCTGGAACTGAGGGATGGCTTATTTGCCAAGGATTAGACAGAGGCCCTTTGTGCTGTTGGAATCGAGGAGACTTCTACTTTCTTCAAGGACATCCCTGTTCCATCTAAGACTGCTACTACAAGGGCTGCTAAAGCAAAGGGGGCGTTATTGGCTGAGACTTCGGAGGCCACCCTTTCTATTTCCCCCCTTCATCTGCCAAGCACTATTTCTGAATGAGCAAACGTAGTCTTGTCATGAGGCTTGAAAGCCCTTTACTTGTTTTCTGCATTTTGTCATTTTTTTTTTTTGTGCAAGTGTTAGAGTTCAGCTAGTTAGACATCGTCATTTTGTAAGGCTGAGCGCCTCTTTTTGTAATGGATACTTTATAGTAATGCCATGCTTTGTTGAATTTTTATATGTCTTGAACTTCAATTTTCAATTTTTGCTTGCATGTGTTATGCTTGCCCTCGGCCGAGCAGGGGCTCTCTAAAAAAGGAGGCCGCTTGTTCAGCCTGACTAGGCTCCGTGTCGTAGAAAAATTGGAAGAAAGAACTTTTCATGCCCCTAGCCAAGCAGAGGCTTCGAGACTATATAGGGCGTCTAACCAGGCAGACCAGGCTTTGTGCCTTAGAAATGTCTAGTTGGATTTGGCCGAGTATTTCGTTGCTCGGCCTTTACTTAATTCAGTTAAGCTTAACTCATCGTAGAGTGTAACTCGGCTCTTCGTTGAGCGCGAGTTGTTACCATGGACTATGCTTTCAAGTAATGATACTTGGCACAAATTCCACCAAGCTATACCACTTGGCACCCCGCTCCAACCAAAGGGTCCAACATCCGAGCTTGGCTTGAGTTCAGACCCGTGGCCAATTTGCTCCACCGAGCATAAATGTACAACACAAGTAAATAAGGACAAACTACAAAACAAATTTTCATTCATTGATACTTGTAACTTTTGATTACATCAAGGCATGTTCTGAGAAATACATTACTGTAAGTACTTCATCCTAAGAATCATATCACTGGAAGTACTTCTTTAGGTTGGCGACGTTCCATGGTCTAGGGAGAAGATCCAAAATAACGAACCAAATCAACCCACTAAATAATGATCAAACAAATCAACACCGAATTGATTAACCCGAAATCAATTAGCCGCGGCAGCACCAAATCAAAACTGTAGCTTCCCCAAAGCAAATTCCATCAAATTGATTAATACACTAAGCACACTCACCGAAAAAAGAATCGGTACTGCTACTCTCTGATTTTTTTCCCCAAAAAAAACTTAAGCCATATATATATTATATATGTTGTGAATCTTGGATTTTTATAATTAAATTCTAATTGTATCCAAATTGAATTGGGTCTTCTCAAATATAATATATAAAAATATATTATACCTAAACCAAGCCAAATTGAAACTCTTTTAATAGATCAATTGGGTCCCACACTCCAATAAGGAGGTATACCCAACAATTTTAGGGCATTAGAGGAAATAATTTGTATGAAAAATTATACTCTTCACCCTTTAATTTTCATTTAAATTCCACTTTGGTGTTTTATGTTTTAACTTTCAATTAAATGATGGAATGATGGGAGGACCGCATTAAAATACAGATTGAAGTCAAAATATTTAATTGTTTTAATTAAAAGGTAGGACCAAAGCAAAATCTAGGGAAAAGACTGAGGATGAGAGTGTAATTTAACCACCCAAAAAAAGAAAAAAGAAAAAAGTAGAACCTATCATATTCTATATGTATATGAGGTGAACAATTTTGATGAAATGGCTTGGCCACTTATAACATCTATCTAAACTTAATTTAATTATGTTATAAAATCCCACTATTCATCCTCTACACTTTCAAGAAAAATCTTACTTTAATTATTTTACCTTTAGTTGAGCTCTAAAAAAATAAAAAATAAAAATCACTTGTGCCACATATGTCAATTTTCCTTAACATTATAACGTTGTAAGTTGATTAAAAACATAAATAGATGACTATATCACAATTAAAAATAAAAAAGATGATATAAAAATTTGGTGAAAGTGTAATTAACATCAAGGAGTTTCACAATCACATTCTATTGTAAATATTAAACACAAGGAACAAATTCCAATCAATCAAAATCACAAGGGCAAAATTGCCACAAAAAGCAAATCACGGGGACCATTAGTGTAAATACTATTTTTTTTCATGTTTTGTTTGTTATGCCCATGAAAAATGGGCACATGTGCAGCACATGGAAATTTTTTATCTTCTTGGTAATTATCAATTAGACTAATTTGAAAAAAATATATATTTATATAAAATCAAATAGTAAAATTATTACTATGGGCACCAAATTGGTAAAAGGGATAAACTACAAAACTAATTTGCACTTAATATTGTGTTACATTATTAAAAATTTGAGTATTGTAGTAGGTAAATATGTATTAATAAATGTATATTTTTCAAGGCATGTAGCCAATCAAGACCAGGTCATATTGCAACTATAGATTGAACATTGGCTACACGGTTTGGCAGATCCATTGCGTTGCATTGTATTGCCCCATAAATTGATACATGTCCCTTACACTTTCTCAATCATCTTCATTCCTAACATCTACATTTCTCTTACTTGCATTGCATTGCATTTTGACAATAATGACTTTTAAAGCTTCATTGAACCACTTCCATTGCATTGCATTGCATTGTATTGCCCTATAAATTGATACATGTCCCTTACACTTTCTCAATCATTTTCATTCCTAAAACCTACATATCTCTTGCTCACTTGCATTGCATTGCATTTTGAGCTTGTATTTGTATTGCCTTGTATTTCTAGGCTATCTATTAAATTACTAGAAATGAGTTCTTCACCAATGAATTTTTCTACCAAATTTTCTGCAACTATTGCTTCTTTCATGCTTCTCATGCTTTTGATTTTGAATTCGAACGCACCTTGTAATGCACAACTATCTTCGACCTTTTATGACCAAACATGTCCAAATGCACTGAGCGCTATTAGAACTTCTATTCAACAATCGATTTCGCTTGAGCGTCAAATGACTGCATCACTTATTCGCCTCCATTTCCACGATTGCTTTGTTAACCACTACGGTAAAATACACTATTAATCCCCAAAGTAGCATGTGCTTTGATACTTTAATTGCATAAATTTGATCTCCAATTTATCTAGTTTGTTGTAAATGATTCTCAACCACATAACCCTGCATCTATATATTTGTTCATATTTTGACAAAAATACCCCTACGTCCATTTTTGACAAAAACGATCATGATTATTTAAAACCTTGTCTATGTAATTTTGACCAAATTTGGATATGTCTTCTCACTACAACAAAAGTTGTCTACAACCACGTTTTTTAGACAACGTTTTTTGACCAACGCTGTGGAAGGCGTAAAGTTAAATTAAAAACACGCGTTATCCTCTTATAAGCACGCGTTACACTGTGCTCCGTCTTCATTTCTCTTTCCGTCTCTATCATTCTCTCTCTATCGTTTTCTCCGTCCGTCCTAGATCTAGGGTTTTCTCTCTCTCTCTCTCCTTGTGCTCCTTGAGAGATTCATCAGGTTCGATTTCGATTACTGGTTCAGTGCTAATTCTAAATCCATCGATTCTTAAATCGATTTGGTTAAAATTTCTTGACTATTTTTTGTTTTTCTTGATTCTGATTCTGATAATTTTACAGAGGAAGATGGACAGATTGAGTTGCACGAACGCGAGGTTACGAGACCGAGTAGTGAAAAAGGATCGAGATCATGGATCGGGATTGAGACAGGGATCGGGACCGAGACTGGTCGAATCAAAGCAAGAGGAGAAGACGAGATCATGAATACTAGGTTTCTGGTAATCGAGTTGTTATGGTAGCGAAGGGATTCTAATTTATGGATCAAAGGGCAAAGCTCCTCCTAAGGTTTGTCCTCTCGTCGCTACTGCCCCTCTGGTCTTGTCCTTTCTCTCTCTCTCAGATCTGATCTCAAACACGTGATTTACTATCTTCACGTATTTAAAAAGAGAAGGCATCATCTATTATTATCTATCTGTACTTATGTTAATACAATCAAGGGTGCTTTAATAATGCTGCTCTGCACTATACTCTTCTTCAGGCTGAGTGGATGGCCCTAGAAGTGCTCAGAAATGAACCTTCAGATGAAAAGTAGGTTGTTCTTTTTCATTTTTTTCCCTACGTAAATCATTTATGTTTTTAAATTTTTATTTATTTGTATATTTATCTTTGTGAATTGTTCACCAGTGTTGAATTATTACTGGATGCGATTCAGGTGTGATGTTTATAGTCTTGGTGTTATTTTATGGGAGCTCTGTACATTGCAGATGGGAGCTCTGTACATTGCAGCAGCCGTAGGGGGGAATGAACCCAATGCAAGTTGTCGGTGCGGTGGGTTTTCAGCATCATCGTCTTGACATTCCTGATGATATGGATCCTGTTATTGCAAATATTATTACGAAATGCTTGAGTAAATTCTGAATTTAAGCCTTCCACGCAATCTGTATTTTGATATATTGTGAAATTTCACCCCTCTAGTAATTCTGCTTGACTTGATTACTAATTAGAGAAAGAGTTTATTTTTTTTCATTATTAGGGTAAATTGCACCACTGGTTCTTCTAATTTGAGTGAAATTTCACTTTAGTTCCTGGTGTTTTAATTTTATTAATTTAAACTTCACACTTTCAATTTCATTTCAAAGTCATCCCTCCATTAGTTGCCGTAATCATTTTGGATGGAAAGACAACACATGTGAAACTAGAGAAACTAAAGCAAAATTCAGAGTTTAGTTATTAGCATAAATTGTACCATTGATCCCTCTAATTCATAATTTATTTGTTAGGGTAAAATATACCATTCGTGCTTGGTCCCTTTAATTTGAGTGTAATTCACTTTGGTCCTTGTTTCAATTTCATCAATGTAAACCTAAAACTTTCAATTTCATTTTAATGTGGTCCTTTTGTTGGCTGCCATTAATATTTTGGATGGAAAAACGACAAGTGTTATTATTTCCTCTTAGTCTGTACCAGTGAGAGACTACTTTTGGAAGTTTGTCCCTATTATTTCTTTGTGAATACATGCTTCAGTTTTCTTCCTCCCTTATATATTAAAGGACCAAGAACACTATTACTGACTACCTATTCCAATAAAAATGGAAATAAGAAATTATAACTACTATAATTATATTGTAATTATGACCAAGACAGGTTATACTAAAATGCATGATTTTTTAAAATTGTTGGAATCATTACAATGGATTCAAGGAATCAAACTCGGAGATACCAGAAAGAATTTTTCCTTGCATGTGAGAAAGGCACTAAGAAGGAAATAGAATAGAACTAGGCATAACAGATTGATAAAAGAACCATTTCCCCCAAACTTTACAGTAACCTCTTCTTCACCATAGCTACGTACAACTATATTGGTATTATAGGCAAATACAATTCCATGATAAGTGATCTTTCTGGAGGCTCCAACAAATGTAAGTATCTAAAATACTAAGACCATTCAAAGAATAAGAAATTTAATGATTGCCTAAAATTCCTGCAAGCTCAACAGAGCTGGCAAATTGAAGAGGCCAAATTTATTCACCTACTGAAGCATATAAAAGATGTAAGGAGGTATTCTTTTTTATCAGCAGTAACTGAGGTCTTCTTAGACAATTAGGCATCATATCAACAACATAAGATGCCACAATTGTCTGAACTGTGTACAGCATCAAAAATTAAAGGCATGTCAGGGTGGTGTACTAGAATCATCAAAAGAAGAAAAACAAGTTTTCTATTTTAATGACAGGCTAGCCTATGAAAACATAAGAAAATCTTCTCCATTCACCATACCTACATCTTAATGTATGAGGACAAGTTCATCAATGAAATAACCACATAAATTTTACCTTTATGATCAACAAATAAACTTGGACATATAGTCCTGTCCTGTATACTAATGATGGCTGTTCCTTCAAAAAAAGAAGAAAAAAACAAAAAAACAAAAACAAGACTAGAAGGTCCCACATTCACAACACCAGCTGAACTGAACATGCTAAATCCTCAACACGATGACAAACTCGGCCATTATGTGATCTATGGGACCTATTGGAACCTTTTGATGCTTGATTGTAATATTTAAATTGTTCTTTTTCTTACTGGTTTTCTGTTTCATCAATTAAGCTGACTTGTGACTTTTTGCATATTATTGTCCTTATGGTTTTGGTTCCACTTCCTGATATAATTTCTGGTATTTGTTGTGTGGTATCTTGGTTTCTTTTGTGAAGATAATTTTACTTGATTTTGGATTCATAGTTTGTGGTATCTTCTTCTTCTTCTTCTTTTAAAATTTTGAAATAAAGATAACAGTTAATTTTCAAAAACAAGAAAAACAAAATATAAAAAATGCTTGCTCTTGAGCTGGAGGGCTTTTGGTCTCTTGTTTGAACACAAATTATATAGTGCCAAATTGTCCTCATTTGTTCTGATACAATCAAGATTGTGAACCAACTCAACTCTGTCAAACTTCCTTTCATTTTTTTTTTTCTGCATTTTTACTTCCTTGCTTGGTTTTTTGGTGTATAAACAGTACTGTTCTTGATGTACTTCTCAACTCTGTCAAACGTCCTTTCATTTTTTTTCCTTGTGTTTCTACTTCCTATGTCATATGATCTTGGTCTTCAAGTTGAGAACATAAAAATCATTTGTAGTGTTTGATTGATATTTTTTAGCAAGCATGTCTCTTTAGTTTATTTATTTTTTACTCCCAATCATTTGCTTACTTATGTGTATATTTTGTTTTTGTGGATGATCACAGATGCGTACATTCTTTTTGTTACAACTGCGGATCTCCTCTAATAGCCCACTACTGTAGTAAATGTAAGCATCAAGTCCTCATAGATGTCAGCCTTTATGTATTCATGAAACTTCTGTTTTCAATCTGCTACAGGACATAGTGATGGAAGCAGCCATCTTAACAAATGTGTAAGATGCTCATCTTTAATGCAATTTTTTTAAAAACTTTTTAACGATTTGTTATGAATTCTTATTAAAGATTAGTGCTAGACACAAATTCTGATCTCTGTTGTAATCAACAAAACAAATTCAATTTGGATGAATCTTTGCTAGATGTTTAATATATGTGTGTGTATATATAATACTTTGTATACGTATTGCAGGGGTCTCTCTCTCTCTCACACACACTCGAGCTCTCTCATTCACAGTCTCTTTCCGATTCTCTCTGTCTCTGTCTCTCTATCTGTTTGTCTGTCTGTCTCTTTCTCTCTCTCTCTCTCTCTCTCTCTCTCTCTCTCTCTCTCTTGCTCTGTTTCCCCATTTTCTCACATTGTTGCTTTAGGGTTTATTCAAAATTTAATGTATGTGGCTGTAATTTATGAAAAATTTCAAAGATGATGTGTAATATATGCAGGTGAATGTGTGTGTATATATAATGCTCTGTGTGTACATATGCAGATGTTTAATATATGCAGATGATGTTTAATATGTAATGTATGTGGCCCTAATTTAATGTGTGTATGCATAATGCTCTGTCTGCATATGTAGGTGAATCAATTACTACAATTATTGTCACTCAACAGCAGTTGGATCATTCAAGCTACACTACATAAGATACCGAGTTTGTATCTCGACATTTTTTATGAAGTGGGTATTATTTTGTTTTAATAATATTTATTATCTCTTTATGCTGTTTATGATTTGGTGATGGCAAACCCATAAAAATATATGCACATAAATATCACTTGGCATATTTTTAAGGGAAAAATTATTACTCAACTCAGTTAGTTAATCTCAACTAATTTAGTAATAATTTTTCTTAAAAAATACTAGCGACATTATTAATTGAACCAAATTGAAACAAAATTTAAAATTAAGGGTCAAAATTCAACCAATTAAAAGTGTAGGAATCAAAGTGATACAAGCGGTAAAATACAAGGATTACTAGTGTAGTTTGCCCTTTTTGTAATAAAACTTTTTTTTGATGTGGAAAAAGTTATACTTTTTGTAGTGAGAAACGTTATATGATTTTGTGATAAAAATTATAAATTATTATAATATTACTATAATGTGCATACCATAATAATTAACGAAAATTGTACAGATATATTAAGCCCTTATACTAATATTCAATACAGTCCCTAGGCTTGCAACAATGCTACAGATACATAAACTTTTTTTGTTGATCGATAAATGAAGAAACTTTATTGATTTAGAATCAGAGTGAAACCTTACATCTTACATCAATAATGTGAAGGAAGACCAAAACAAAAAAACAACTGGATAAATGCTATACACATCAAAGCAGACGCTTAGATCCCAACTAGGTTGCCACCAAAACCTCTGCCAAATCATCTGCAGTATAATCCAACCAACTAGTTGATGAGTACTACAACCAATTGGAAAGCAGCCACACATCTAGGCAAAAATAGCCCCAACACACTAAATAAAATAGGAAACAAAGCCACAAACAGAGCAGCCACCACCAGAACTCCGCTAAACAAATGAATCTCAGCAGCCCTTTATACAATTCAACCTGAAGACAATATCATTAACAGAATAAGGCATACTTTTACTGTTATACATCACCCAAAGAGCTACATTGACTTTGATAGATTCCAATAGATTCACCTAATGAACACACTTTCAGTCAAACTTATATCCATTCATAGCTTTCCAAACACTCTAGATCACTGCAACACGAGCAGCCTCCCAAACCAGTTTACCGATGCCTTTGAATTTAACCTCATTCCACCAGGTCAGTAAATTGCTGATAAATACAGGTAATGCCCCTTGAACACCACACCAAGACAATATCTCAGTCCAAATTCTCTACACCCCCCTAGAATGAATTAACACATGCTCCCCTGATTCATCTTCAGCCCTGTAGAAAATACACAAGGTGCAAGCATTCTGATCTAATACACCCATATTTTTCAGTAGCAGAGTTGTTTTGAGCTTACCTTTCCAAGCCAACCAACTGATAAATTGCATCTTAGGAGGTGCAATGTTCTTCCATATCAATACAGCTGCCTTATCCTTAATCCCATAATTAAAATTCAAGCAATCATTGGCCTATTTAACAGAGAACATACCTGATGGAGCAGCATTCCATTTCAGACAATCATCTTCAGAGATGCTAAGCACAGGAGCATACTCCAGCAATCGATGAAGATAGGTTACTTCTTCCAATTCCCAAGAGAACAGATGTCTTCTAGATTCGAATCTCCAATCCCCTGACACAGCCCTCTTGCTAGACATTACCAATCTTGACACTCAAACTTGATTGAAAGAGGTTGTACAGCTGTGGGTTGGTTGAAACCAATGAAAGGATATCAGCCTAAATTCTAGAGGCCTTGAGGTTTGAATCAGACAATGGAGACCAAGGCGGCTACTATGATAATACTTACTACATAATACATTTTTCCATAAAGCCCTATTCACTGTCCCAAATTTCCACCACCATTTTATTAGGAGACACAATTCACATCTCTCAATCTTCTAATGCCAAGACCTCCTACCTTTATCTCCTTGGTTACATCACTCCATTTTACCAGATGAATTTTCCTTTTCAGTTCTGAACCTCCTTAAAGAAAGGATGCTTGTAGCCTATCTAACACCTTAGCCACTCCTTCAGGTATTTTAAACAACGATAGGTAGTATGTAGGAAGATTGGACATCACAGGCTTGATTAGAGATAACCTGCCACCAAAAGAAAGTAATTTCCTTTTCCAGTTTGCAAGCCTCAACGTAAAGCTCTTCACCACAGGATTCCGTGTGGACTTTAATCTAGGACTGACACCAAGAGGCAGACCCAAGAACTTAAATTGTATATCCTTTTTGGTACTATTCAATGCCTCTGCAAATTCATTACTTAAATTCTCTTCCACAACCACCCCAACCATCATACTTTTATAATAGTTGGTCTTCAGTCTATAAATCACCTCAAAACACCTTAGAATTCTTTTACTGCAAAGGATTTCATCCCAATCTGCTCCACAGAACAGTATTGTATCATCAGCATACAGAAGATGTGACACATTCACCTTATTTTTCCCAACTAAAACCCCTTTTAGCAGCCCCAACTCCTTAGCTCTCATACGTAGAATATTGGGCCCCACAGCAACTATGTTAAAGAGAAATGGGGATAGTGTATCCCCTTGCCTCAAACCTTTCTTCAGCTACCATTCACCAAAACTGAAATTTTAGCTGTTGAGATACAAGTTTTGATCCACCCAATCCACATCTGATCAAACCCAAAACTGCTCATTAGATTAAGAAGAAAGTTCCAATTAACACTGTCATAAGCTTTTTGAAAATCTAATTTGATTACTGATAGAAAAATTAAATGTCACTGATGAGATATATGGGAATGGAATCCCAATGATGTATTTTGAGAATGGAAGAATAAACACACTAATTTTATTTCTGATTTATGGATACATGTAGTATCTCTAATTTTCTTATCTCATCTCATATCTCATTTTTCTCATAATTCAATACAACAACTAATGCAATCTATTTATAGAATTACAATTCGTGTGTGCACCGTGTGTGTGAGTTGTATCCAACACATAAATTCACATTTTCCTCATTTTGCTTCATGGTGAAGCGTTTGGCCATGGCGCTTCCATGAAGCTTCCATGAACTATCTTTTTCTTTCTTCCAACTTCAAACTCCTTCTGGAAATCTTCATTCTTCTGGTATTTTGTTGTTAATTTGGGTTTGGGTTTTTCAATATCCCCCTCAAACCCAATTTGGTGGGTTTCTTCATTCTTTCAATAGCTACAAGCGTTAAAACTCTCTCTTTTGCTGTGAAGATCTTTACTCTTGTCCTCAAGTGTTTGTATGCCATATATTTGATTCTTCTCTTGTATTTTTTGTGGACCTTCAGTATTGCATTCTTTAGTTGTTTTCCAATATGAGTATTGCACTGGACTTTCTTCATTCTTAGACATTTCGTGAATGTTTTATCCTGATGACTTTTCCACTTTGCCTTCTGTTGAGATTTTTCAATTACTTTTGGATCACTACCTGTGCTGAGATAGAATAAATCAAAATCTTCATCGATACGTCTCGTTACGTCATAGATGTCTTGAATTGGTGATCCTTCACATGAAATGCTGCTTGTCCCCCCCTGCGGTAAGTGTGGGGTCATTGTGGTCTCCATGTCTGGTGACTCTTTTTCTTGGTTGTCGTCCAAAGGTATGCTGATGAGCATACGCAGGTTTGAAGCAAGTTTTAAGCTAATCTAGGGTTAGGTTTAGTGAAATAAAGTTAGGGGTGGTTAGGGTTTGGTTATGAATAGTTTGGGCTGAAGGAAACAAGATTTTGACAGAAAAAAGACTGCTTATGGGCTAGAAGTAGTAATCTGTGAACAGAGGCAATAGGAGAAGAGAGAAAAATGAATAAAACTAGGAATCGCTCCTAGAATCCCTAGGCATCACACTGAGGGTTGGGTTGCATCACACAAACCTTAAAGAGGCTCAAAGCTCTGAAAATTATATAAATTCTGATTGTTATTTTATTAGAAGCAATAAATTGCTTTATATAGGACTAGAAGATTTCCTTAACCAACTAGGTCCAAAATAAGAAACTACTAAAACTACTACGAAATCTTTGATTTCTAAAACCTATTAAAACATAGGGTGATGATTGAGACCCCCTCCAATCATTTTTATTTTATAAAATGAACTACAAATATGATTATAAACTTAGAGTGTTTATTTTAAAAAAAAAAAAAAAAAAAAGTCATGTGTTTAATTGTCCGCTGAAATTTATTTTTTACATAGATGACCTTTATTGTGGAACTTATGAGATATACTGTTTAGATTATCGGTGTGGATCTAGATTAGGGCCTACAAGAATGGTATGAAGAGGTATGAATAGATGAGGTATGGAAGAGAGCATATCTCAAAATTTTACAAGTGAGATATGCTATGCGGACTCACCTTTGTTAGGAAAATTGTGAGACAAAGGAACTCACTTAATCTAGAGGAAATAACTATACAGTGACACAGTAAAAAATAATAATAATACATAATCATGAAAAAAATATAACATTTTAATTGTTAAAGTGTATAAACTTTACCATTAATT